ACCGGCCAAGCCAGGCCGGTTTTTAAAACAATGTGTTTAACATATCATGTATCCTAATTCTTAAGTTTATCTTAATAGAATATATTTGAATAGAGTATATCATGAACGAAAAATAGGGTAAGGAAAATGAAAATAATATCTTACTCTTGATATCTTTTTTTTATTTATATAATAGAGATATTTATGTTACTATAAGTTGGTATTTTATTCCTAATTGGACTAGTACTTCTACTAAAGTACTAATACATATTCCTAATTTCCTATTTCTCTTCTAAAGAGATACAAACATACAAGAAATTATTTTAAAAACTCTAACGATTATTAATCCTAATTGCATTTTTTTTATTTTAATTAATTACTTTTATCTAAAGGGTCAATAATATCAATGAAGTTTAAAGTAATTTTATTTTTTTACAATTTTTAATATTAATTATTACCATTTTAATCTAAATTATTTTGGAGTGTTTAAGTGTCATTTGATTGAAAGTATAGTGGAAATTATCATTTGCAATATAATATTTTGGTGTTTGTGCAACATGGAGCACGCAAAATCACATAATTAAGCACTTATAAAAATAAAAAAATAATGGCACAATTGGGAAACGCACGCAAAGTTTATGTAAAATATCATGGATAATAGGTTTAGGAAAGTAAGACACAATTCCTGTTTTCACCTTCTCCTCCATATGTTCTTTCTTCAAAGTTCAAACTACTTTTCTTTGCAATATGTAATAAAAGAATAAATCAAAATAAAAACTATTACCTTACTCTTGAATATTGATATCTAATTTTTTTTTATATTGGAGATATTTATTAGGTATTTTATTTCTAATAGGACATGCAAGTCTGTTAATTCATATTCCTATTTCTCTCCTAAAATATAGTCAAAATATCTCTAAATATTATCAATCCTAATTGCATTCGTTAATTACTTTTATTTGAAAGGTTAATAATATCCATGATTAAAAATATTCCTATAAAAAACTCATGAAATAAAGTATCAAGATTCGGTTATGGATCTATCTAATTCTGAAAATGACGTTTCCCCCCCAAATCCCCCTCAGGGGGACTTTTTAACTAATTAGATTTATTACCTGTTGAAAAACTCATATAATGACCATTAAAACTTCAGGGGATTAAAGTCCATTTTCGAATGGCAAGGTTATGACGGGAAACTCTGTATGCGTCGCAAGTTCAAGGATCTTTTCACTCTAATCTCATACTCAGGGGTCAATTGGCTTAAGACTTCCTTCTCCTTGATTGCTTGTTGAGCTTGCCTCTTCCCTTTATTGGACAGGAAGCCGTCACCCGAAGAGACTGATCCTACAGATTTTGAGATCCGAGGCGGGGTAGAACTTCTCTAATACAGAATAGCCCGGGAAAACAGCTCTCTCATCCATGATCTCGGGTTCGTCTTTGTTTCTTCCCCCGACAATGCCGTTGACTTGGATTCCTTTCCTCCATCTACCATTCCTGCTAGTCGAGTCGCTCCTTGAACACAATCAAGGTTGTTCCCTTCTCATAGCCCTATCTATGTTTATTGGCCTTCTGAGGAACTGAGATTCAGAAGAGGCTACGCTGCTGAAACTGTGAATTCGTCTGTGGACCTGTTTGAGTAAAGGCCGTAGTCTGGTAGTGCTGAACTCTTGATGGTCTTTGTTTGATGAAAGGGATTGGTTTACGACATGGGTTAACTTTGATAGGAGGAATTGGTTTGAGATTGTGGGCTAGTCTGAATCCTAGATGCAACGAACGTTCTTTGTTTGAGTTTTTTTCTGTTATCTTTCGGACGTCATATTATATCTATGCTATGCCGATAGACGAACGAGACGAGATCCTATCCTTGCTCTACTACTGGAGCGCAACAAGCTCCTTGCATCTCATGTCCAATTGAAAAAGGGCGTCGCGTCTGGACGGGCGGGCGGAATGGATGAGCGAAAGGCGCCATGGAGTGAGGAATATCCCGAGTTGAATGGAAGACAACTAAATGCACCTCGAGGTGTTGCCGAGGAACTGGGGGACCTTCTTGAGCACAGGATAGGCAATTGAGAGATAAAGCTAGCCTATTCGTTATGGGGAATCAATGCTCCGGGCCGAATAAAGCTTACCTCCGGCACCTGGCTTTCTCCGGCACATATTAGCTTAGCTGCGCTTAAGAGGCCGGTTTGGCTTCCTCTCTGGCGGCCCCTTTCCTTACCTTACCCACGCTACACTCCTACTCCAAGCTACGCCTGCTGAGCAAGATGCATTGCGATTTCCTCTTCTGTGGACGCACCGGAATG